CCAAAAAGAGCCCTACTTGGCCTGTAAGATGCTGCATAAAAAAAAAAAAAAAAAAAAAGCGCCATGATGTGCTACCGCCCGTCCGTCAAACACCTGCACCCATTTGCGAAAGCGCCGGCAGAGTCCTGGTTGATACTCTCCTTGACCTCCATGGGCAACGAGTCAAAGAGGTGGTCTTCCACGACCAGGCAGCCCCGGCGCAGCAGGGGGCACTGACCCAGCTGCGCCGGGAGACGGTCCAGGCAGTTGCTCTTGAGCTCCAGGTGGCTCAGCTGCGCCAGTTGGCCGACCCGATCCGGCAGGGCGGCGACGCAGTTGTGGCCGAGGCACAGCGTCCGCAGTTTGGTGCACTTGAAGAGCTGCTTGGGAACAACCTCCAACTTGTTGCCCGTGATCGCAAAGTACTGGAGGTTCTGCAGGAAGCCCACCTCCGGGGGTATGGCGGCGATCGAGTTGTGGCTCACGTCCAGGTGCCGGAGCTTGAGCAGGGTGAACAGAGAGCTAGGCAGACACTCGAGCTTGTTGTGCGACAGGTAGAGCGATTCGAGGTTTTTGACGTGGCTGATGGACAGCGGGATGGAGATGATCTTGTTGTGCCAGAGCTTGAGGCACGTCAGCCGCTTCAGGTGCTGGAAGCTGATGACCTCCTCGATGGTCCGGATGTGGTTGGATTTGAGGTCCAGCTCCTGAAGGTTGTTGAGGCTGAAGATGGCGTGTGGGATTCGCTCCAGCTCACAGTTGTGCAGCTCCAGCTCGGACAGGTTCATCATCTTCTTCAGGCTGTTGAGCACCAGGAGCTTGGTGCCGTCGTTGTGCACCACTAACTTGACGAGGTGGGGCGACAGATCCGTGATGTTGGTGGGGACCTTGGTGAGGTTGCTCTTAAGATGCAGGACCTTCAGGTGTCGCAGGTCTCTCAGAGACTCGAGTCCGATCATTTTGTTGTTCTCCGAGTTCAGGTTGCCCACCAGGTACAGCTCTTGCAAGTTCTTCAACAAGTACAGCCAGCTGGGGATCTCCGCCACGTCCGTGAACTTGACGTGAAGGCATCGCAGGTGATCCCTCAGGAAGATAAAGGCCGTCTGCTCCACTTTGGCGGGACAGTGGTAGAAGTGGAGCTCCTGTAGGTTGATCATCTGGGAGATCTTGGCCGTGATCCTGGCCTCGGGGATGAGCTCCAGCTTGAGGATCTCCAAGTCGGTGAGGTCAAACACAGCGTCGGGCACCCCCGACAACATGAAGAGGTGCAATTCCAGTTTTTCCTGAACGTTGCGGGTCACGTGCTGCCGGAGCTTCTCGAAGGTCCACTCGTGGTTCAGGCTGATCTCCCGCAGTTTGTTCTCGCTGACTTCCGACAGGAAGACGCCAAAGCGCTTGGAGTAGAGCTGGTCGTACTGGTCTACCATATGCAGCAGGAAGGCAAAGTCGTTCTTCACGTCGGGGATGTCGCTGAAGCTGCTCTCCTCGCGGACTTTCTCGAACGAGTACTCCTTGAGGGGACGGCGGAAGAGCCAGAAGAGCGTGTAGATGCAGATGACGCCGTAGACGCAAATGAGCGCGATGTAGCTCACCAGCAGCTTCTTCAGCATGAACGCCATGTTGTGCGTGCAGTGGAACTTCCTGTATCCGGTCAGGTGTTTGATCTCGGGCTCGCACAAGTGGTGGAAGTCGATGGAGGCCACGAAGGTCATGGTGTAGCACAGGATGACGATGAACTTGACGGTCTTGATGAGCGTCTGCAGGGCGTACAGGCGGTAGATCAGGTCGCTGTCTTCCACGTGGGCGCGGAACTTGCGGACCTTCTCGAAGAGCGCCTTGGCCTGCTCACCGTCCTTCTTGTCCAGGATCGTCATGGAGGGCGCCTCGCTCACCAGCTTCTCGGCGGAAAAGGTGACACCGGATTTGGTCAGCATGGGCGCCGACTGGTTGGGGCTGCCCTCCTCGCTGCTGGTGGAAAAGTGCTTGTTATGGGAGGAAGCCCCCGCCAGGCGCTGCTTGTTCTCTTCCGAGTCCTCGCACGCCGTCTCGGACAGCGCCTTGGTGGTCCAGGGAGACTCGAAACACTTGCCCAGGATGGAGACAAAGTGCTCGATCTTGGAGCTGGTGCGGGGATACTTGAACCAGAAGTTGCTGCTCACCATCAGGATGAGCGTGTGGATCAACGCCAGGTAGGGAAAGTATTTAGAGTACCACGGAAGGGCGACGTGGTAGCACATCTGGTTGACAAAGACGTACTGCTGGAAGTCCAGCTTGGTCCGGATCCCGGTGGGGGCCGGCTGCTGCGTCGGCGGTTGCTCCGGGGCCACCATCAGGGGTGCCGCCTGATCCCCCGTGGCGCTCTCCTTACTCCACATCCTGCCAGACGCCTCGGTCGGTAGCGGTGGCACCTCGTCTAGGGACGAGTCCAAGTCGGGCAGGCAGACTACCTGGTCCCGCGTCAGCTGCATGGTCCCGGCGAAGATAGCGAGCATGAGCATGACGATGCCCAGGTAGTCCATGAAGACGTCCCACCATGGTTTCAAGATGCGGTAAGTCGGCTGGATGTCGTTCAGGGAGGCGACTTCGGTGAGGGTGAACATTCCTACCACACACACACAAAAAAAAAAATGATGATGATGATGATGATGAATTCGTGGTGTGCACATTTGCCTTGGAAAAATAAAAACGGGGCAAATTTGGCTAATAAGTCAACCAAAAATATTAGTTGACACAAAAGTGTCTGCCTCGAAACGGTTTTTCTCACTTCTCCCTGCCATATCTTCCTTCTTTGCGTTCTGCGCGCATGCTTGGATCTTCCTTTTCGTGGCACATTAACCAGGCAGTACAAGTTGTTACATGTTTCGAAAAGGTTGTCCAAACCAGACCGCTGACACATTCCTTCAACTCCAGCACCACATGCTAATGCTAATGAGCCTGTGCCTGTTGCCTGTAAATAAAGCTATCATACGGAGACGTGCTTTTTCCATGAAGGCGCTATCATCAGGGCGGCAGCGGGGTCTTATAAGATAAGTAAGGCCTCCATTTTACAAAATGGAGGCCTTCCTCATCTTTATAAATGACACTTGAATTGGATTCAGGTCAATAGTTCACATGAAATATCACAACAATTGATAAATGGCTCAAAATTATGACTTAATCGTGAACCCACTCCTTGTGGTCACATTTGGGGAAATTTTTTTTAAAAAGTTGTGATTTCTTCCTTTACTTCAAACGTGTAAAATACAAGTACACTCGTGAGGAACAATGGGGGGGGGGGGGAGACAATTCATTAAAAAATGTTAAAATCAATTTACATATCATTGTTCATTTGTTAAATCAACAAGTCATTTTGTGTCTAATTTAAAATATTATTGGTCCAAAAAAAGAAATGTATTTTTACATCCGTCACTATTTTGTTTTCATACTGTCTGACTCACGCAGACGTATGAAGCCTGTGTCGGCTTGTTGGCAGAACAGTGCGCTGCTCCACAGAGCGTTAAAGTCCAACAACGGCAGCAGACTGGTGGGTCGAAGGTCCTCGATACTGTATGTGGAGGACAAGATTAGACCAGACAGTTTTCACCTCCTCGTTGTTTTATTCAGTGGTGAAACCAAAATTAATCCACAAAGCTGATATTTGTCTCAACTCCTCCACTCGTGCGACCAAACCCAAAACAAACCCCACCCCGACAAAGGCAAAGGCATATTTGTACCGTTCCAAATTAGGGATAGACTGATTTTCATCCAGCCTGATATTCCGTATTTTGAATAACATCTGCATCAGCATTTTTATTAATCAAACACCTGGCAGCCGATGTAATTAATTTGAAACTGTGTTAACTTACAATGAACTCTCTAAGAGATCCCGCTGATGCTGGGAACTCTCTGCACGTTTTGTTTTCATTCCTTGGCTTCTGAAATCAAACACTTTCTTGTGGTGTCATATTTTTATAATCCGGTCCACACTTAAAGAAAACTGTAAGGCCTCAAGGTCTCTGCTTCATTCTTTTTATTAAAAACGAATCACAGGCCATTCCGTTGTTTCGAATTAGTAACAAGACAACATTTTTGTCCGCTTTTTGAAGCCTTTACAATGTCAATTTCCTTAATCCTCAACACATTGACAATATTTTAAAAACATTTTGTTATTTTATTGCAGCACTTTCCGGTGATATTGATTGTCTTGGAAAAAGAAATCGATGTTGTTGTCATGCACTTACTAATTGTACAATTATCATAATTAAACTATATGCATTACTCAGGTCATACCAACACGTAATATCCTAATTTTTAGGGATTCATTTTGCTTTTTAGATTACATTTGGACTTGATTTAGTTACTCCTCAGTTCTGCTGTTTATTTTGGTTTGTACTTTATTCATTTTAATATGAATATTAATGAGTGCTAAGCTATTTTCTAGCAAGCTAGCTACACAACTAACTACCAAAAACTGTGGTTTGCGTTGGATCGTGTAGCTAATAAAATATCGGGTTGGTGTAAATGGAACCTCGAACAGGATAAATTACTTGTTGGATCACATTTTTGGGGTGGAAGCGTGTTCAAGAGACAATGAGGAAGAAGTTTCCTCATGTCCGAATCGTCATTGAACGCCGCACGACTGCTTCCGCATTTGTCGGGTTAACCAAAAAAAAAAAAAAAAAAAAACCCCACAAGCACAATCTGCTCATTCGCTATTTCGCTCAAATATATTCCGAACAAACAAAACACGCAAAAACAATCAACCATCTGCTTCAAACATCCCCGAACCGCCACCCGATGGCGTTCCATTCGACAGAAAAAGAGTCCTACTTAAGTACTAACCTTCGCAGAGGTCTGCTCGACGCGCGGTGTCTTCCTGCTACGCTCGAACCGAAGCTGGTGGCCGGTCAACAGCCGCGTTGAAGCCCTCCATTCTTCCTTGTCGCGGCGGTGCTTCCTGTGGCGTTCGGTGCTCGGGCCGCTTCTAAGCGGCTTTGGGCGGCTGATACTCCCCCCTCCCACCCCCCAAACCGACCGGCTGTCCCGCCTCGTCGCGCCTTGTCGCGGATGGTCTGGTCCGGTTTGTTCCGCCGCCGGTCACGGGTGGCGGTGGGCGGCTGACGAGGTCGACCGTCGGCTGTGTGGAAGTGAAGGCGGCGGTGGTGCGCGTGTGTGCGCGGATGTTCTTCTGCTGCTTTCCGCCTGTGGACGGCAGGTGGAAGCCGCGTGTCGCGTGACGCCGAAAGCCCGCCACACACAAGTACACGAGGGAGTGTCACGCAAGCTAAGGCAGACGACTGAGGGGCTATCCAACGAGTGCCAAACGGAAAATGAAGCCGCCAACAACAACAACAAAAAGTCTCACATTTGCCTAAAGACATTTTTGATGATTCTCAAGACTTTTGGAAAAACATTCTGTGAACTGATGAGTCAAAAATTGAACTTTTTGGAAGATGCGCGGCCCATTACGTCTGTGTAAAAATGGCACAGCATTTGATAAAAAGTGCATTATGCCATACGGCACAGTATGTTACATGAGAAAAGTAGCAGTGCCAGTTCTCCGTGGGCTTGTTCTTCAGATTATTTTTTTTTGGCAGCTCTTCACATAATAATAATCGTGTGTGATAAATTAACTACCTTCGGGGGCTGAATTTTCACAGCATCATTAAGTTTCCCGTTTCACTGCAAGTCATCAAACATGCTGTCATGCTCCGCCGACACGCAGTGACGAAAACACAAAATGTATCCACATTGCACATCTAGTCGACAATACGGTTCAAATTTGATTGTGACCAGACAAAATCTCCAGGACACATTAACGAGCATAAACACAAAATAAAAATTGCAAAATATTGTAACATCAGGTATGAAATAATGGCAAAACAAAAGTTCCAAAAGTTTTATTTAAACTTGTAAAATAATCTTTGTGTAATATACAATGCTTTAATTAAGGCATGACTTGATGTAAAATATGTGCTATGTCCCTTTGTTGTCAGTGCAGTATATGTGTTTAAAATAAATCGTTTTGAACTATAAACACTAACCATAAATGCTTTCTGGTCACTTAAGTATCTAGAATCTAGAATCCAGCAGGGACCCCGAACAAGAAAAACTGTATTGAAATAGTGCTCATGATATAAACAAACACATTTAGAAATTAAATGTGTTTAATTTCATGTGATTTTTCTTATGTACTGCGCAAAATGTTCTGACATAATTTTACAATTTTTAACTTGTCTATGCATGTTTTCGCCCCTTTCATCTTATATTGTATGCCACGGACAATGACGCTTGGCGAGATGAATACCTCACTGACTATTTTGATTCACACGTTGTGAAGGTAGGCCTAATGTTGTGACCAGTGGCCATCAATGTAAATGAGGCTTGAATCAGGTCAATTCGTCCTTCGTGTCTTTAATTAGCTGCGGTGAAAGTCAAATAGCCCTGGATTCAAAGATCCAGGGAATAACGACAATATGCAGTGGGGCATCTTCTCAGAAAGCTGTTTAACAAGAAGATGGAAAGATGTGGTCCTACGTATGATTTTATCTTTGGCAGTTTTCTATTCGGACTGTCATTGGCTACAAAAAGGAGACATTTAGTTAAACCAGCCTCAAACTACTGTATGTGGAATCTATGTTTGGTGTTTGATGGGGAGTCTTTTGTCTTCGCCGCCCATATGCAGTGACAAAGACAAAAATGCTTTTTGGCGTTGTTCAGCTGTTCTGTAATGTGGTTCAGGTTTGGTAGCAATCCGGAAAAAGAGTTCAACGACCGACCCTAAAATGGCTGATTTCAAATCAAAATGGCAGACTTCCTGTGTGTTTTCAGCCATGGCTTCTTGAGACGTTTTTGTGGGTCTACTCATAATAGACTCGTCTGCCAAATTTCATCATGCCGGTCAAAACTGGCATCAGGGGCTTAATTTTAAACACTGTGCTGGACTTTGAATGGTCTGTCATAATATTTCTTTGCTATGCTGCGTCAAAATCAACTTTCAAATCCTCCACGTTTTTGGAGGGTCTCCACGAAAAATATTCTTACCAAATTGCATGTTGTCAAGCAAAATTGGCTTTTCGGCAAATGTCATGTTTCAACTGTAAGTGAAAATGAAGATGGCGTCAGAGGCTGAATTCTGAAAATGTGTACAGGAAAGTGGAAAACGGATCGCGTTCAAAAGTAGTGCAAGTCTGATGTGGGCTTGTGAGATCCTACGAAGCAAGCGAGGAAGCAAGTAGCAGGCACTGTGGTGACAGTAAAGCGTCTTTTACTCAGCTTTCATCTGGTCCCTGACGTCCGATGGCAGAGTCTCGAAGAGGGCGTCCTCTACCACCAGTCCACTGCGCTTGAGTGCCCGACAGCAGCCCAATTCCTGCGGCAGGAGCTCAAAATGGTTCCCCATGAGTTCGAGGTGGGTCAGCTGGGCGAGGTAGGAGATCTTTGGCGAGAGGACAGACAGCGAGTTCTTGCCCAGTTTCAGCGTCTTGAGCTTCTTGCAGAAAAAGAGCTCATCTGGCAGGTTTTCGATTTTGTTGCAGCCCACCGAAAAGTACTGCAGGCTCTGAAGGACGCCGATCTCCGGCGGGATGAAGCGGATGTCGTTGTGGCACAGGTCCAGGTACCGTAGCTTGTTGCACAGGAACAGGTGCGAAGGCAAGACCTCGATCTTGTTGTGGCTGAAGTAGAGTCGCTCCAGACTGCCCAGCTTCTTGATGTGCTCGGGGATGTACATGATGCCGTTGTACCAGAGCTTCAGGCAGGTGAGCTTGCGCAGGTGCTGGAAGCTGACAATCTCCTCGATGGAACGCAGGTTGTTTTCCTTCAGATCCAGCTCTTGCAGGCCGGTCAGGCTGAATATGGCGTGCGGGATGCGCTCCAGGTCGCAACGTACCATCTCCAGCTCCGTCAAGTTGGTCATCTTCTTCAGGTTGCCCAGCATGACGAGCTTGGTGCCGTCGTTGTGCAGATAGAGCCGCTGCAGGTGGCTGGACACATCCACGATGGACTGGGGTATCTTGGTCAGATTGCTCTTCAGCGAGAGCGTCTTCAGACACTTCATATCCCGCAGTGACTCGAGGACGATGTTTTTGGAGGCATCTGGGCACAGGGACCCGGTGAGATGGAGCTCCTCCAGGTTTCGGAGGCCGTACAACCAGCCGGGGAACTCCCTGCCATCGTCGAACTTGACGCGGAGCACCTTGAGGTTCTCTTTGAGGAAGGATGTGGCGGTGGTGTGCAGCTTGATGGAACACTGATACAAGGAGAGCTCTTGAAGGTTCTCCAGTTGCGAGACGGAGGCGGGGATGCTCACGTTGTTGATGATCTCCAGCTTGAGCGACTGCAGCTCGCTGAGCTCGAAGACCGTGTCGGGCAGGCCGGGCAGCATGAAGAGCTGCAGCTCCAGGCGGTTGTTGGCGTTGACCTGAAGTCTCTGCCGCAGTTTCTCTGCCGTCCACTCGTGATTCAGGTTGAGCTGCTTCAGCTTGTTCTCGCTGACCTCAGACAGGAAGACGGCGAACCTCTTGGAGTACAGCGGGTCGTACTGATCGATCATATGCAGCATGAAGGCGAAGTCGTTCTTCACGTCCGGGATGTCGCTGATACCCGTTTCTTGACGCACATACTCGAAGGAGTACTCCTTCAGGGAGCGGTAGAACAGCCAGTAGGATGTATACAGGCTGGTCAGTCCGTAGACCGCCACCAGGCACAGGTAGCAGTAGGAGAGTTTGGAGAAGAGGTGCGCCATGGTGTGGTTGCACTCAAAGTCCTTGTAGCCGGTCATGTCTTGGATCTCCACCTCGCAGGGCACACTGTTGCGCACCTGGTCCACCAGGGAACTGTTGTAGATGACAATCACCAGGAACTTGAACACCTTGAAAACCGTCTGCCGCACATACATGATGTAGAGGATGTCGCCTTCCTCCACATGTAAGCGGAACTTCTTCACCTTTTCAAAAAGCGCCTTGGCTTGCTCGCCCTCCTTTTTATCCAGAACGCTTGCCGATGGCTTGTCCGCCACAATTTTTTCCGGGATGGAACGAAGGGATTGAGTCCTCTCCAAACCCACGCCTCCGGGCGATGCCGCGGCGCCGCTCTTTTTGTGGTCCGTCTCCTCCGGGTTTTCTCCAGAAACCTCAGACAGAGCCCGGGTGGTCCAAGGGGAGTCGAAGCACTTTCCCAGCATGGAGATAAAGTGCTCAATTTTGGAGCTGGACCCAGGGAACTTGAACCAGAAGTTGCTGCACACCATGAAGACGAGCGTGTGGATCAGAACCAAATAAGGGAAGTACTTGGCGTACCAGTGAAGGGCCTTTTCATAGCACATCTGGTTGATGAAGCTGTACTGCTGGAGGTCCAGATCCGTCTTAAGACCACTCATTTCTTTTGGCCCGGATGAGATGTTGTAATGGGGATGTAAAAGTTTTACGGCCACTTCGCTGGTGTTGTCGGGGGGCGTCGATGTTCTGTGCGGGAGACAGATGATCTTGTCTTGCATTACCTATGAAAGAACGTAAACAGCCAGTGTCACCGGCGTCGCAGTCAGACAAATGCTTCTGTCGGCCCTCCAGATTCCCATTCTTTGCCAGTCAGTACCCTCTGTGAATTGTACATAAAATGCCGTTTTTTTACAACAGCCACCCGCCCGGCATCCCATCCTGCTCATAGAAATGTGCGTCGCAGGCGTTGACGCAAATTATCGTTGACAGAAATGTTGAACTTTAATATTTATTGTACACATTTTTACAGCATTGGTCAACGTTAAGAAGCGTGTCATGTTTGCCCTCCTACTAAAACCATATTAAAACCCCAAAAATATATTTCCCTCCTCCATCTTTTTCCTTTTTCAAACATTTTTGAAAAAGCTCCAGGGAGCCACGAGGCCGGCGCTAAAGAGCCGCATGCGGCTCCGGAGCCATGGGTTGCCGACCTCCGAGTTAGGGTAAGGTCTTCAGTGACTGTTCAACACATCCTACCACAACTTCTTTTTTTTTTTTTTTTGGTCTGGGTTGATCGGCAAATTTACCTGCTTTGGAGAAAGTAACAAAAGCCTCTTTCACACTTTTTTTTTTTTGCTGTTCTGTAAGAAATGTACTGAAGGTGACCCATGAATTTCTTAGCTTCAGCGCTAATATCAAAATCAGCTGTCAAACCTTTTTTTCCTGGGTCAACCCACATTTTTTTCTGCTTTGAAGATGGTATCTAAAACCTGTCACACGGCCCTTTTATTATTTTTTTTTTGTCTGGATCATTGTACAATTTGAAAGATACCAACCTTGATACAAGGATTAAAGGTGATCCACAAATTTTATGGCTTTGGAAGTAGTATCAAAGCTCGCTTTCACACTCCCTGTCAAAGCCAGAATTTTTTTTTCCTTTGCCACTGGTTTTGTGTAAAAGTTACACCGCCAGAAAACCTGCGGTCAAAGCTGACCTGCCTTCAGTGGTTCTATCAAAAGGTCCTTTTGCGCTGCCTATCAAAGCCTGATTTTTTTTTCCCTCGGGTGTTTATGTCTCTCTCACTCTCTCTCTTTGTGAAAGGTACAGAACGCAGGTAAAAAGTTGACTCGTGAATTTCCTGGCTTTGGTGATAGTGTCAAAGGCTCCTTTCACGCTGCCTGAATTTCTTCCACACTGTCCTTTGAAGCCAGATTTTTCCCATTTAAAACCAATGTCCCTTTTGCTGTGTGAAAAAGGAACGACACGGAAAGGCCGAGTCGCTTTGACACTACATCTTTCTCTGTGTGTAAAAAGCGGCGTTCTGTTATGTTGATCGGCGCCAAGTTTCTGTTAAGAATAACACGAAAAGGCGCACAGCAAAAAAAGGTCAAGCATCTGCAGTTTGCAGCTTCATGTTTACTGGAAGGGACTGGTTTGGGGGGGGGGGGGGGGGGGGGGGGGGGGGATTTTCCGCTGCTGAATGCCTCCTTTGCTGCCGCATTCAGGGTGTAAAAAAATAAATAAAATAAGGTGGTGGCAAATTAGCGCATCTTGGGTGTTGGCCAACTCGAGAACGACGAACAAAGGAGGCTGACCTGAAGTGTGCACCCGAACACGCCGATCATGAGCATGATGACGGACAGATAGTCGGTGAACACATCCCACCACGGTTTCAGGACCCGGAAAGCGGGCTGCTGCTCCGAGAACTGGCGGAATTCCATCACGGGAATCATGATGCCTGAAATGACAAGAGGACAGCAGTGAGGTCTTATTACTGATGGAATGTTTGGCACAGGAAGTTTTTATTTATTCGTACAGCCAACTGGGGAAGGATGCGAAACTCCGCTCAACAACAAACCGACATGTCATGATTTAAAAATCAACTTAGCAACATGAAATTTGGTAGGCGTGTCTGTCTTGAGAAGAACCACAAAAAAGTTTCAGAAAATCATCGTGAAAAGACAAAGAAGTTCGGCCATTTTGGTTTGAATCGGTCACTTCCAGGGGTTCTTCAAATTTGAACTTGTCAATGTTAACAATTCAGCCGTTGAGCCAGTTTAACATGAGATGAAATATGGGAGGTTGTATCTCACCCGAGAAGACGCACAAAAAAGCCGCAAGAAGCCATGCATTCAAAGACAAGGGAGGCCAGATATTTTCATTATTTTCATTTTAGAAACAGCTCTCAGTCGTGATGCAGTGTGGTTGCATACATGACTGCATATTACCAAGCCAACTTGAACTCATTCAAAACTGTGATGATACTAAATTTAGCTTGCAGTCAGAAGAGTTAAGAGGCCAAAAAGGTCCACTTTGTCTATAGGAAAATTGCCATTCCCGCCCGATGAGTCAGCCGGCCAGCCACACATCCTCCACCTTATCCCTTTCCTGAGAGGAAATGTGTCCCCGATCCCAAATGAATCCCAAAACAGTCATGTTTGGAACACACCCAGACTTCTGACGACAAAGAACACATTCGCACGTGTGTGTGTGTCTGTGTGTGTGTGTGTGTGTGTGTGTCCTTGGAGGAGGTATCTAAAAAAAAAAAAAACTACAGTCTAACCGCAGTGCAGAATGAAAATATTCATGCAGACTCGTGGCATGGAAACGACTGAGTTGAATGAGCACCATAAAGGGGATGCTACGGTGAATAAAATAAATAAAAAAAAAAGTAAGGCTACCTGAGTGATTTCTCTTCCTTTCGAGGGTGTTTTCTTCTTCTTCTTTCAAACGGCAACCAGGTCGGTTCTCCTTGTCATCGTCGTGATGCGGCGGTTCTTGCTCTGCTGCCTCCAGTGGGGCCGGAATGATTTCTTTGGCCGCCTTCGATTCAGCCGCGCAGTGCCGAGCAGGGCGTGAGCCGGTCGGGCGTGGATGCGAGCCGCGAACGGAGGCGGGCTCGACGTGGATCGGGGCGTGGACTGCCGCGCGAGAAACACGAGACGAGACCGGCCGAGCAGAGCCAGGTGGAAACTCGAACGTGACAACTTGTCTTCTTTCATCCGAGTTAAATGGTCATTAGTTATCTGCCTAACATTTGATGTGTCGACATGATTCATTTGCATTCGTTGTTTCTTATTTATCTAACATATTAAACTATGACTCATTTACTCGAGTTTTCACAAATGAATTTGCATCTGAATGCACCCACGAATTCTTTTTTTTTTTTTTTTTTATTCTGCATATCCTCAAGAGCACAACTCTCAAAGTCAAGGCCCGGGGGCCAGATCCGGCCCGCCAGATCATTTTATGTGGCCCGCGAAAGCAAATCACATGTGTCAACTTGCTAAAGTCTGTATCGAAATGTCAAATTGTCATGTGTAAGAAATAACGTTGAGATTTTGCAATAATTTTCTTACCCTGTTTACACTCACTTGAACAATTATCGAACAAACTATTATAAGTGACTTGACTGATTTCAAAACTCGTAAGCTATTCATTTGTTGTGTACAAGTAATCATTTTGTGGTTTCGCTGTCATCACGGCCCTCCGAGGGAAGATGCAACTCCAAATTTGCCCGTGACTAAAATGAATTTGACGCCCCCGCTCAAAAGGGTCGCGGGGGTGCTGGAGCCTATCCCAGCCGTCTTTGGGCAGTAGGCGGGGGTACACACTGAACTGGTTGCCGGCCAATTGCAGGGCACACATCAACAAACAACCATTCGCACTCAGGGACAATTTAGACTCAGAGCGTTCAATCAATCTACCATGCAAGTTTTTGTACTCCGGTTTCCTCCCACGTTGTATGTGTGAAGACAACTAGGAAAGGCTCTCGAACCCCCGCAAACCTCGTGAGGATAAGCGGATCAGATAATGGATGGATGGATGGTCCAAAAATATGTTTTCCTTTCTGCAAACATGTGATGCATGGAGCATTTCAACATATGTGAAGTTGTTTTCGTCTGACGTTCCCCAAGCATGAAGAATGAAGTCTTATTTTTTAAGATAAAAAGTTGTATTTTTTAAACAAGTTATATTTTGGTTAAATAGTTTGGTTTTTTTTTGCACGTGAACTATTCTTTTTGTTTTTGGTAAAGAGTTGTATTTTCTTGATAAGACATATTTTTTTCCAGAACAGAAAAGAAGCAATTTGAGGAGACTAAAAGAAGTCAAATATTTCAAGACTGAAAAAGTTTTTGTTCAGACTCGACCTTTGCCAAGGATGCAGCGTGACAGGTTGAACAATGAAATGCTTTCCCACTAGATGGCAGAAGGTAACCCGTGCATGTGCACCTGTTGCCATTCATACGAAAGAATCACATCTTTGGCCCGCAGTTCACACTAAGTGCATTTTAAGTTTTTATTTTTATATTTTGGTGTGCAGTGAGATTTCTCAAATGTAAAGAGTGTGCCTCGACTTCACAATTGGGAAACACTACATCGAACACAGCTGTCAGCGACTGCCCACCGAGCTCAGTTGGTCCATCAGACCAGAGCACCCGATCAAGCATCTTCAGACTGTCATCGTACACGCCTGCATGCCCCACCCCGTTGCAATCAAGTGTCCCAAACAGTAACGCGAATATTGGGACTGCGACATCAGGTTTCCCTGCAGGAAGCCCTGGCGCAAGCCTTGCAGCGGCATTACGAGCTGATGGGTCAGCCCGAGTGCTTCGTCAAGGCACTGGCCGAGGAGTTGGAGTGAAAGTGGGACCGTCTGGCAGCCATGCCTGCGGTGGGCCGGGTTGTCGCCCGTCATGATGGTGGACGTGTCGGAGCTCGATGAGTTCCCGCCAGAGCTAGTTCCAAACGTTGTATACTGAGAGAAAACCAGCGGTCACATTATATTTCTGTTTCTAGATAAAGACCTGCCACATGAAAACGATGATGAGGTTGAATCCTACGACGACAAGTTTGCCAAGTGGATGATTCAAGAAAAGTTAAAGTGGACTGGAGGGATGCACCATGAGATAAGAACTTGGCTGACCCGTGTAGTGTCAATAGTGTCACGTTGGCTATGACCTTGGGGTGCATCGTCACCGTGTGTCAACATGGAGCAAGGAAGTCGAGCTGGTTTTCGTTGACTAAAACATTTATCATACAAAAAAACTTGATCATTAAACATTATAAATAACTGGCAAATGTGACATCTTAACTCCTGTAACAAAATTGAATGGCTTCTCCCTACACTATTCCCAGAACTATTCACCTAATAATTGAAAGTAACAAACTGACGAACATCTAATGACCAGACGAGCAATTCAGCAACTACCCAAACAAACTATAAAAATTAACCATTCGAAGCAACTAACTTTCAAACCACCAACTTAATAACCATCTTACTATCCAAATAACTACCATCTAATGACCTAAATATCAAATTAATGACCAACTTAGTCGCTAACAAACTGAGCAGCAAATAACAATCAACTAACTAACAATACCAAACTTAGTAAGAGATTGACAGATTAACTCACTGACTGACTAAACTACTGGACATCTAATAACCCAAAGATCAAATTAACTACTCACTACAAACAGCTCATAAAAGTAACCAACAAGCTTATTGACCACCGAGTAAATAATCAACTTATAAGACAAATAAAATACAAATTAACCTGCCAAACATCACTCAAGCAAACATGCATACGAACAAATAACAAAGTAACAAACTAAGTGCCCAACAATATTTAACTGAAAGAAACAATTAAACAACTAGTTGAGCATTTAACGACCCAAAGAACAAACGTAACATCTTACCAAACAATCCAATTAAATATCATACTGACAAACTAACCACCAATACATTATAACTTTATTTACATTGCGTATTTAAAAACAATATAACTCTTTTGAAGGAAATTCAAAGTTAGAACGAAATAAAACATGAAAAGCAGCGTTTGTACACATCAATGACTACTAAACAAATTTGTCACGCCAGTTGAAAGACACACAGCCAGCACATAAAAATGCACTTATGACGAGAGTATGTCTCATTTGTAATATTGTCATTGAATATTACTAAGCATACAATTATGTTTGTTTTGAAATTAAAAAGGTCGAAAGACCTGACCAGCCTGACTTCTACGGTCACGTGGTCTAGTGGTGGTGCCTTCATGTGCTCTTATAAAGACAGAACGGAGAGGACAGTATTCGCAATCTTTATCCACCTCTGGAGTATAGGTGAGTCGCTTTTTCGAACAAAAATACTAAATGCTTGCTGTATTCTGTTATAAAAAATTATCAAGCTTATTTTTAACTCGCTATTTATAAAAGTGACAAAAAGGTCCCACACGGGGGACAAATAAATTCGGTTTGATCCTGCTTCTTCCCGGCTTGCTATGAATGCATCGTTTTCCTTTTCGTTCTCAGCGTAAGTGTGCTCGCTGGCTTGTTTACTAATCGTTCGTTTCCCCTCCTGACATTGCAAAGCTTTTGTGATTTGTTTTTGCTCAAACTGGAGAGACGCTCGTGCTACGCCTATTACATTCATACGTTTAAACACGTTTGTGCTTCACTGGCGGGCTGTTAGCTAAAAGTCGTAAAATGCTTGTCTTAGTGGGAAAGTGCGTCTTAACCGTACCAATAATTAATTCATAAATCGTGTTGCCATATGACGAGTGGGTCAATTGACCCTTTGGAGTTAATACGATGAAACTATTGACCCTGTAGTCGGTGGCTGCTTTCTGTATTTTTCTTCTTTGTGGTCTTCTATGAGGATGTTATGCACAGCAATACCACCAGGTGGGACCTCCAAGTTACTGCAATATGCGCTCAGAGGACGCTGGTTTTTTTTTTTATATATATATATATATAAGAACAACACATTCAGGCCATATTCAATATTTTTTTTTCCAAAGTAGAATTTGTATTAAATGTAACATTTTTAAAGAGAAAGACTTTAAAACAGCATGATCTGGCATGCCATTCATGAAAGAACAGGCATTGCACTTCTTTCATAACCAGAATAACCATAGAACTGGAAGTGACGCTGATTACTCAGGCCACTATTAGAACCTCAATGAATTATTCTGATAGAAGACCCATAGGTGACGGTATCGCTCTACAAATGGCATCTTATTCCCTGTGGATTATGCTTCTGAGGCACAGTAGTTTTGCCTTATTGTAGTTTTATCAAAACATGATTAACTTCAACACTAAATTGCAGAATGAGTGTGGCCAAGCTTCTCCCACTCTGCTCCAGGTTTGCTTTCAGAAGAAGTGTTTGTACATCGCAGGTAAGTAATTAACAGCGTCACGGTGGCAGTAATGCTTAGCCTGGCACGATGCTACCAAAAAAAAACAAAAGAGTAAAACTGCTGGTTTGTTGCAGTGTACGGCAATGGTGTCTCGACATGGCAACACCAAGAGGATCCAAGGACTGGACAAGAACGTCTGGTGAGTGAGTGTTGATCTATTTTTTAAAAATAATCATTTGACAAGTTAGTACGCTAACATGAGTTTGTGATTGTAAAACCCAGGGTGGCGTTTACAGCTATGGCAGCGGATCCTTCGGTAGTCAACCTGGGTCAAGGCTTCCCGGATATTTCTTTGCCACCTTACATCAAGGATGCTCTGGTGCAGGCAGTGTCGGTCGACAAATTGAACCAATACACTCGAGGCTTTGTGAGTAGGACCTCCGGTTCACCTACACTGTTAGCTTTGTATAGCTAGCACCACTATAATGCACTTAATTTACACATTGCCAGTCTCCTTGAATCATCCCCTCAAGTCATTTTTTTCATTTTTTTCCCCCTAAACCAACAGCACAAAAACTTCACCCCATTCTTATTATTTGTATGAATAATTTGATTTCAGAGGTATAATTGAAGCTGATTAACTAGGATGTAGGCAATTTTAGCAGAGGTGGCCAGCATCCTGAGGGAACCTTTGAGGCAAAAAAAAAAAAAAAGTCAAGATATGACCTTGGCCATTATTTCAAGAAGTTAACAATATGTCGTTAGCTATAGGCAGCTAGCTTGACTGCACTCCACCTGCATATTCAATCTACCACTAGTGTTAGCTTTAGCCAGCTAACACAACTGTGGTGTCAACTTCTATTTTACATAAATTAGTAAATAGTATGTAACATTTTTTTAATTTCCAGCCAACATGGTGACATCACTATTT